CTTTTAAACTGTCTAACCTAATACCTAACTCTTGAAGAAATTGCGACAATTCAAAGCAACTAATATGTAGAAGGTTTAAAACAATTTGAAACCCTAATTTTGAAATAATCCTGTATTTAAACATAACATTTGCATATACCCAGTGGATCTTCCAAAACTTTTCCTACTCTTTAAACTAGGTCATTTTTTTGTCACTTTAGATTTGCTAAATTTGGTTTTAAGGCAATAAATAATTGGATTGTATTTTGATTGTGAGGTGAAAGGGGAATGATACAGAAATTGACAGATTTTCAGTTTTAAAAATCTGAATATTTTTCACTGTAGATGCATTAAACTCCTACAATCTTATGCAACTGATTCTCTTTAGAAGAGATGTAAGTTTTAAGGAGGCCCATGGTAACTCTGGAGGAGCTGCAGAGATCCAGTGCTTGGTTCAGACCATTTGTTGACATTCAGCTTTAGCTTTGAAGTCGATAAATATGACCTACATAAAAATGTGGTAGGAAATAGACCATTGTGGAAAGAAACCTATAAGACCTCCCCCTTGAGGTTTACCACAAACCATGTAGATGCGACGATCAACTCTTTACTAATGATAAGCATTGCTTTCTTGTGCAGTAGTGACAGATCTTCAGGCAGTAATATATTGAAGTGTATGTCTGAAAGAAACAAACATTTGCTCTCCGTTTTCTCCCACACATCCACACATATATGTCAGAACAAAAAACCCTCTGTGTGATCAAGATCTACCATCATCCAGATTATAAACTGCTTCCTGTCTGCTGCCATCCTGTAAGAGCTATCGCTCCACACAATCATAGACGACCAGAAAATGTCACAACTTTTTGCTCCAGCAGACTTGGAGTTACTTTACCGTTTATTTTTTTTCTGTTGTAGAAAGGGCACACTTGGAATGATAGAAACTTTATTCTAAATCATTATTTTGTTGAATTAAGAAAAAAAAAATGTTGATGGAAAGCAGTGAACAAAGGAACGTCTGTAAAGACATGAGTTTTGTGTTAAAGAACTTGAGTGTCTGTGGAGCGTCATGACCTCAACCTGATAACACAACAGGTCTGAGCCCGAGCAAGGCCAGAGCTTAGCCCGATCCACAGCAGAACAAGAGTCAGGCAAGAGCTTAGACAGGGCCATAGCAGAGTGACAGTCAGGCCAGAGCTTAGACAGGGCCACAGCAGAGCAAGAGTAAGGCATGAGCTCCACAGCAGAACAAGAGTCGGGCCAGACCTTAGACAGGGCCACAGCAGAGCAAGAGTCAGGCATGAGCTTAGAAAGGGCCAAAGTAGAGTGACAGTCAGGCCAGAGCTTAGACAGCACCACAGCAGAGTAAGAGCCAGGCCAGAGCTTAGACAGGGCCAAAGTAGAGTGACATTCAGGCCAGAGCTTAGAAAGGGCCACAGCAGAGAGACAGTCAGGCCAGAGCTTAGACAGGGCCAAAGCAGAGCAACATTCAGGCCAGAGCTTAGAAAGGGCCAAAGTAGAGTGACATTCAAGCCAGAGC